AAAAAGCATAAAATAATGATGAGAAAAAAATAAAACAAAAGCAACAGCGAAAACAATGACAACAACGACAACCTTAAGTCGTACGAAAGAAACCCTCAATAAACAATAAAGCCCACACCCCAACAGAATAACACAATCTTTTTTCCATCAACCGTGTAACACTAATATGTATGTATGCAGACTACCGTTATAAAACAAACGGTCATTGTTGAGGTGCGGAAGGTAAGATGAGCGTTGGGTTGGGTTTTGTCGGTTATATGCCGACAAGGACCATAAAATAAGTAATTACACCCATGAGCCTGCTCGATTATCTTTTTAAGGCTTAATTGGAGAAAATCATTTATGAAAACATAAATAGCAGTAGCAATAATAACAGCAAAAAAAAAAAAAATCAAATAAACGCACATACATTGAAAAACAGTAGCACTCAGTGTCTTCGCTGGTGCTGGAGCTTAACAATATCAACTGATACTATATATTTGTATATATTATATGTATGTATGTATATAAGTATATTCATTCATTCTATTATGCATCGCCGTGTTGTTGTTGTAGACACCAAAATTTAATGGTTTGTGGAATGTGTTGGTAAATTGAATGTCCCATTAGCTTGTTAGTAGAGTTGGTTGAAAGACTGCTTATATGTATGAATATATCCTCATAGATATATCAACTACAAATAAACGTTTAATTTGGCAGTGACACTCTAGGAACATATGAATGTGTAGGCAAGGAAAATAATCTTATTTGGAAAAATTAATAGTGTTTTAGGGTCCGATTTAACAAAAATAAATTCAAACTAAAAGTAAATTCTTTAAAAAAATAAATAAAATAAAATTTCTTTTCAGTCTTTTAAGGCCAAGTTTCTCCAAAAAAAAAAAAGTTTTTCCAAAAAAATTTATTTATTAAATAAAATATTTGTAAATCAAATTTTTGTAGATAAGTAGACATATAAAAATATTAATTGAAATCTTTTATTTTTTTTTTAATGGCGGCTCTTAAAATTGCTGTTGAAACACATCCCTTGTGTTGGCGAGTGGCACGATAACTACAAAATGAATAATTTGAACGCAAAAACCAAAACGGTTTCTTATTCTGTATCACATGGCCGGAACTACAATAAAAAATTAAAAAAAAAAAAAAAAATGGCAGATCTTTCTATTTTTTTAACTTTTTTTTTCAATTTTAATTGTTTATAAATTTATTAAATAACAATTTATATTTCTGGTTGTAGTACCGCCTATAGAGAGACATTTTGGGTATAAAATGCCATTAAGTTCATGTTCATAAGTTCAATAGGTTCTGAATAAGAGCGTCCCTCAGTTGAAAAAACGTGGTTTCGAGAAAAAGGCAATTAAAGTACTGAAGCTGCCGGATTGACTGCTTTGCGCTTTCCGCTCACCCATTTTCCATGCTAACTTCTTGCTCTTGCGGACCTTCGGGATTTGGCCTTAAACATCTTCTTGTCTCGCAGTGGGATATAAGGTCGATACATAAAAATCTCTCAACCATGCTTCAGGCGCGTCTGGTGAGAACCATCGATATGTGGGTCTGACGTTGTTCTAATGAAACACAATTCTCTTTCTGTTACCTAAAGTTGGGTGCTTCTAAGCGATTGCTTCCTTCAGGCAGTCAAATTAAGAGTTTGGTTGTAGGACAAAATTTAAAGGGAATTGGCGCCGGAAAAATGTCTGGTCTCTCATTTCAGTAGTTATTATTACCAATAAAATATTGCGCTATTGCAAGTTTAAGTTCAGCATTTTTTACCACTTTCGAAAAAAAAAAAAACAAAACTTGATCAGGGAAGAATCAGTGAAGTTATTCGGCTAAAGTATCTATACTGTGGAAAGAGCTTGTCATCTATTCTATCTTCGGTCTCCTCACGGGCATCGCAATAAGACTAGTGAGTTACTCTCAGTTCTTTAAGCGAGGATGGTGGTTACCTGAGGACATTCGACTTTCAGTCGCTCAGATAATACCAAGAGCAGCTTCTATAAAATAACTTAAAACCTTAGGCAAAAAAAGATTCCATCTAAATTTTCGTTATTTGAAATTTTAAGCACGAGGTCTCCAAATTCCTGATTTAATTTACTATAGATTTACGAGTTTCGTACGTTTTTGAAAATAATACGCCGTATTGATGACGGATGCCTTTTCCTCTACTATGTGAAAATTTTTAGGTAGAATTTTTGTGTGTAACCATTTAAAACTCAGCTGGTGCAAGAATTGAAGTCGCATGGCTTACTAAGTTAACCCTAGATGGCTGGACATTGGCAAGGTTTTATGAAGATCCACTTTTTATATCGAAAAATTGTGAAAAATCGAATCTTTTGAAAGGATTAAGTGTCGGCATTGTTGAACCAAACCTTTTTTAAAAATGATGAAGGCTGGAGCTTCACTGTGAGCGCTACTGTATGTGTGATTTCAGTAAGACGAAGCCGAAACCATCTAATTGAGAGGCAAGTTGAGTGAGCAGTTTATCTCACGTTTACAGCCGCTCTGTTGAATGCTTATATCAAGTATTTTATGTGGGATCTATCATGAGACAATTTTCTATAGCGCTAAATCTGAAACGTTGGACGCAAAGTCCATATTGGAGAATTCTTTCGTGAAAAACAACTGTATGCTAGAGAGAGTATGGCAAAATTCGTGCTGACATATCCAATAATCTTTAGATCTTAAACTAACTTGATTGTTACTACAAAATTTCATATATTTTTATTGTTTCCTAGTGAACTGAGACAAGGCGAAGTATTTGCTGTCATGTCATGAAAACAGTCAGCGCATTCGCGACTTGGCTCCTACACCACTGCTGGCAGTTCTAACAAACAAGTCGTAGATAATTTCAACAATCTTGGAAGATAATTAACACTAACAAAAATAACAACATTGAAATCCAATGCAGAATCACTCTTGCTAACGGTTGCTAATTAGCATTGAGTGGGCTCGTAAAGTCGTTAAACATTAAAGCAACAGATGGAAATATGAGCTGTGTGAATTCTACGGGGACATTGGTATAGTTCAGCGAATCAAGAGACAGTGGCTACGCTGAATTCCTCATACTGTCCAGAGTGATATGATATACTGGTAGTACCTCTTAGAGAAAGTAGAAGATTATTAAGACTCCACTCTGTTCAAAAGATGAGAATCTTACTTAACTTAATATCTGCAACTGTGACTAAATCTTCAGTGCTTATAAGAAGAATCAAATTCTTTTTTGAAAGTCGGAGACAAAAAAAAACCAAATGATTAAAAGGTAAATGCTGAATTAAGAAAGTCGTCTTCTATCGAAAATGAACAGAAATTCTTACGACGTCTTGCTTGGTCACGATTTTCTGTTTATAATAAAGCATGCATGCATGTCAAGAGCTTGAAAGCTTAAGGCTTCAAATTCCGATTAACAAGCAAAATAAGTTATTTTGAAGGCTTTAAGTAAGAGAAGTTTGCTGTTGTTGTTGTTATCGCAATTCGCTAACCCCGCTTAGGGACAGGTGTGATTAATCTGATTCGCCGATGTACCTGTTGACCCAAACGGGGTTAGGTGACAGCCCTTGGTTGGAAGAAATCCGGGTCAACTCCGGCTATCTTGAGGTGGGTTCGAAACTATATATTTCTTCAGCTAGACATATGAAATACCTTTGCCTCCCAAAAATGAACCAAGAACCTAAGAGAGACCTAATTGAAATTGTTCGAAATTTAGTTGACATATAACTCAACTTGATTTCCACTTGGGTCGCTGTCTCTCATTGTTAAATTGTGAAAGCACGCAAGTTTCATGCAAGTTTCACACATACATACATATGTACACGCACACTGCTCTCTGAGTACGCCTCCATTGAATGGGTTGGTAAGTTGTTTCGTACTTGTATTATTAAGTGTTCGCTATAGTATTTTGGGGGAAAAATACACACATATATATATTTGCGCACTTAAGTTATGATACCTCACACGGGCATATGTACATAACATATCGCAGGAGCGCTTCAACACTGCTGCTCTCACGCTCTGTTTCCAGCGAAATGATAGCTGAACGCATTATAAGTAGTTCGTTGATTATGGCTAATGCATTGTTAAAGTGTTATCACCATTGTGCGTTAATATGAGTAAACATAAATACAATAGAAATACACACATACATACATAAATACATATGGATGTAGACACAAGGATTGTTAGGAATTCTTAATGAACCAGACAAATTGTTTTGATGGCACATGACACACCGTCTGATATGTGAGATAAGTCTTGGAAGGCTCACAGACAAATCATATATAAGTATGTACATACGCACATACCACTATTTATATATAATTAGGAAGGTATGAATATTTTATGCTGAAAGCCTAATTTCGGGTTAAACGTTTCATCGATAAAACGCTCATGAAATTGTCACACACTTGCTGTGAATCATATTTATGTAAGCGTAGGCAAGGGTAAATGTACATATATATGTATGCAAGTATGTTTACAGCTTTCTACATAACTATTATATAAATGCTTACAAGCAATTAGTTTTATTATAACTAAAAGCCACAGCGGTTATCGCTTTCCAAATCACTGTCATGCTCACATACTCACATGCACACCCACATACATACAAATTATTATGCGTTGACGCAATTCCGTAACCAAAAATACCAAAAATCACTGAAACCACCGCAATAAAACCGCAATTGTATATTTCACAGGTTTGATTACTTTCCCGCTCATCCACTTAATGCCATCCATAATTCAATTATTTTTTATGAGCTTTCATTGTTTTATTCGTTCATTGCTATTACATATTTATTATGGCTGTGACTTTTATGTTTATTACTCGCACCTTTATAACATCCAATTGGGTTTAGGATACTTCAGTTTAAGAATTTTTGTAGTGTTTAGCAGCGATTTGGATTATTAGGCTGTTATTATATGCACTACATATATATATACGTATTTTTTTATAGTGAAATAAAAAATGTGAATGTGAAAGTAAAAATGAAAAAAATACAAGCACTCACCTTAAAGGAACCCAAATCTTGCACAACGCAAGTTAAAAATGCTTCACGCCCCACAGACGCTGTGACATTTGCAATTGGAAAACTGAATTTGGGATCCGCTGTAAGAAAAAAATTGTATTAATATTTTCATTATATTATTATTATTATTATTATTATTTCCATATAAATAATTAACTTATATTTGCATAAATTTATATTTTATTTTTCTAAATTGATTTCAGTTCAAAATTAAAAAAAAAATTTCTGCAAATACGATATCCAAAAGAAATTAATATCATAGGACTTAAAGAAAAATTTGCAGTTACGATAGTCAGAAACTGAAGTGGGTTGGAATTTTTTTTATTCATATTTTTACTCGATGTTTTCACTTAAAATGATTTCCCCCAACTTGTATCGATTTTTTCTACCTACTACTCTACTCTCTCTCTCTTCAAAAGACCCGTCAAAATTTATATCGATCAAGTCAAAATGATGAGTTGAGTTGATTTAGCCAAATCGGTCTGCTTATACCCAAGATCATTTGTTGCAACCACCCAGATCGGCCCACGATAATATATATCTCCCATATAATCGAAAATCAATGAAACCGGAGGATAATATCGTAGACCCTCATTCACCAACCAAACTAGGCACACACACATGCATTGGTAAAATCAAACGACAAATGGTCGGAAATGTCCATAAAATGATAGAAATTATCGTGTCTGATGGTCTTGTCAGCATTTTTTCGATTGCACTGGAGCTAAACATTGCACAAAAAATAATTTGGAGCCACTTGAATGCCACATGATTTAATGAAAAAAGGACCAGATTTTAATCTGCAGATCGTAACGAAATCGACCCATTTCAACGTGAAATGAAAACGGCCGAAGGGCAGTGAGCCGATATACTATAAAACGAACTCCAACCCAGGATTTACGATTAGGAAGATCTTGTGGTGAGTTTGTTGGAATTGCCAAAGAATCTTTCATCTTGAGTTGCTCCGCTACCGATAAAATCTTCTGACATGTCATGTCAAATATTTCACTGTTTGAAGCAGGCAATTTGCAAAAAAGCCAACTTTTCGCTAACAGGAGGATAATTGTTTTTTTTCTTAAAGACAACGCCAGACCACACACATTCCCCACTGCTGATAAGGGGTTCAAGAATTTACCCACGGTAACGCATGCCTGTCGTAAGAGGCGACTAAAATCCAATAGTTCCCACGACAGTCGGGCCTTTATACAGGAACGACCCGGACTTTTTCCGGCCAAGGACTGTTTCTCGCGCAACATTCCCCAAAAGGTACTTTGGGGATTAATTTTGCAGTTACAACCAAAACAATCGCATACATTTGTTGGGAGGTTCTTATGCATCCACCTTATAGTCCGGAATTCATATTAAATAAATATTTACCATCTGTTTCTGGCTATGGCTGGTAAAGAATTTGGTCTCAAGAGAAGCCTATGAATATTCCCCCATTTTTTGTTGCCAATAGAAACAAAGGTTTCTATAAGAGAAGAATAATCAAATTGCCTTCAAAATGACTAAAAGTATTGATCTAAACGGTGCATATTTGAGTCATAAATCCGTCCAAAAAAGGGAAAAATTGCGTCTAAGTGTATATAATTTGGTATCATTTATTCGTATCTACGATTCTCACGACATTCTCATCGAAAATCATCAAAATCGAAGGGATTTACATATAACCGCCGTACAAGCGATTGGTTTACTTAATTGGTTTTGGTTAAAAAATTTGACCAAAAGAACATGTCACGTGGCGAGAAATTTGGTATAATAAGTGCGTATCTTCAAATAAATACTGAACCGAAAATAATCGAAATTGGGAAACTTTATCACAGCTAATTTTTCCATATGAGAATTAACATTTTTTTATTGAATCTGCGTCGACATCGAGAGCATAACAATAATTAATAAAATCTAAATTAAAACATAAAATCCATTAATAGAAATGGGCTGCTGCCCTGACAATCCTCTATAAAAGGCTGCTTTGTCTCTTGTTCGCAGGCGGGTTTGATTTGTTGCAAAAACCAAGGTGGTTAGCCAAAGGGATGAGAGTTTATTTATTTTATGCAGTTTCATTAAGTATTTTTTGTGCTGCAATTTCAATCTCTTCTTTAATGGTAGGTATATTTAGATCCCTATGGATATTATCATTACGCATATACCTTGGTGCGCCCGTTATTTCTCTTAAAGTTCCTCTTGGAACCTTTGAATTAACAATTAACATTAAGAAGAAATGCAATATAATTTATATGGTCATGAGGGGTGTAAAGATATCGGCATGGCCATGAAGACGGATATTTTTTTTCCTGTTTTGACTTTGTTATCGAGAAATATGAACATATTTGAGAATTGTAGTTATGTAGCGCATAAGAAAATGTGCTCTCGAAAATGGAAATGTGCTCTTATTTAGTGATTATACTTAAATCCAAATAAATTTCATTACAAAAATATTACGATGAGTAAAAACCTGGCCTTATATGAATTGAGTTTCGTCTAGTTTTCGAGAATTTATAGCCTACATTTGGCTACAAAATTTTATATACTCCAATGCACTTGTCTGATTTAAGAAATATGCGAGCCATAATATTACGAGGAACTGGCGCAAATGAAAATAGTGGTACTTATACATATAAGGATGCAAATACATCGTTGAAATTTTCTTTTTTTTAAAAAAAATTACAACAAAGCGAGACAATTTCCATGCATGGCATTCATGGCTATTTGTTATAAATCAGGTCTATATTTGAAGGCGAATAATTGAATGTTCGAAGCTTTAAAAAAATTTGTAACAAAACATCATTCGAAATGCTTTAGAATATATTGTAAAGTAGAACTAAATAAAAAAATAATAAAAATAACTAGTTTATGTTGAAATTTGAATGAAAACTTTAAAACCAACTTTCAATTTTATTAATTACAAAACTTCACCCTAACAAAAATTAACTGTAAAATGCAATATTTATTTATTTATGCATATATAGGTGCGTAATGTGTAATATTATATTTATTATGTTTTTTAAATTTTGATCATTACTTACTTATCACATCGGCAGCAGTTTCAATTAAACTGAAATCAGTTTTGTGGCACATAAATATCAATATGAATAATAAGTTAGCAGCTGGTTGCTTTACTAGCTTTGTGAAATGTGTTGCGCGTATCGACGGCATTGCATTTATTTTACTTTTATCTCAGATATTTATTTACAATTATGCTCATTGAATGTGCTTGTTAGTAGCCTTTACGTAAACACACATACGTAAGTCGTAATGGAGCATTTGTTGTTTAAATATTTTTAATGCTTTCACATTCGTTTTTTTACGAAAATGTTCGCACGTTAACGCTCCAATGGAAATTCATTATCATAAGTAGTTGCTGTAATGAAATAAAAAATATTTGTACTATTCCGTAATTCTCGAATTTTAAATGTTATGAATTATATTTAAAAAACTATATTGAAAGCTGGGTAGTATTTGCGCTTTAACAATAAGGTGGAATACTCCTATATAAATATTTAACTCTATCTGTAAGTTATATATAAAATTGATATAATATGCATTTTTAAATTATAAGATTCCAATTTGTGAACTTTAAATTAATAATATTGCAGCTTTCTTTTTTACCTCTTGCTCTTCTATCCCCGCTCTCTGCACTGATTTAAGAGCATAAGCACTACACAAACGACCAAGCTTTTAAAAGTCGCATGAAATTTAAAGTTCCAAAAAGAACACAGGCTACAATTCGGTTCGGTTCGACCAATATCCAAAAATTATAGAAAACTAACTTTATATTTAATTAAAATTAGTTAACATTTTTAAATTCGGTCGCACCTTGACGCTCGGTCGAAAATCTCTGCAGCGTCAATCAAAATTTATTTATTTTTTTTTTAAATTCTGTTCTTATATTATATTATTTTATTTAATTTTATTTTTTTTACAACATTTTAGTCATTTATTTTATTAAATTTAATTTTTTTATACAACATTATTAGTTAATTTGTTTAATTTATTTCATTTTATTTTATTTTATTTTATTTTATTTTATTTTATTTTATTTTATTTTATTTTATTTTATTTTATTTTATTTTATTTTATTTTATTTTATTTTGTTTTATTTTATTTGATTTTATTTTTGTTCATTTCATAATATTTTATTTCATTTTATCCTTTTTTATCTTACTTTGTTTAATCTTTATTTTATTTTCTTTATTCTTTTTGGGTTGTTTTTATCTACGGTTATATTATGTTTTGATTATTTTTAAGCAGAGCCAACCTTTCTTTCGCTTCTAATTATAAAATGACCTTCAAAGCTTCGTAGAACATTTGTTGTAAACTTAATTAATTTGCTATTTAATTCGCTGTGAATTTTGCTAAATCTACGGGCATTAATTTCTTACTAAATAATTGTCCAGACACTTAAAATAAAGTTAGCAGACAATTGAGCGCTAATAAGTCGGTAAATAAGATTTGGAGAGAATTATCCGAAGGAGAGCACTGTGGGGTGTAATATACGGAATGAAAGGCTGCAGCGAGAGTAAGACGAGAAAGTTTCAAGTTTACCATGCCGGCTTTGGCAAAATGCAGTGCAGCCGAGTTTGGAGAGAGTTAAAAAATTCAGCGAAATAAAGAAAGCCGGAAAATTGTTAAACAGCCAGCTGTAATGCGAGTAAATGTTATTCATGCTTTTTGTTTCGAAAATTTTATTCTTAATTTTATTGTAGCGAAAACGGTATTTCTGCACGCTTTTGCTGCCAATTTGCGTGTTTAAGTTGTGTAAATTTTTGCAAGCTTTGTGTGTACGAGCGTGTTTGAGACGGTTCTTAGTAAGAATGAATACATAACTGTAGTCCGTGTATATGTGTATGTAATTGTAGCTTGCGCTAAGTTGTTGCTTACCCTCAAAGCTTTCAAAACTTCAAGGCTGCAAGGAATCGCCTCCACAGATCGACTGAAGCGTTTAACTTATGGGCGAGTGGTTGTTGTTGCTGTTTATTTTTTTTTTACACCAACGTTAACGTAGTTTGGTTTTTATGCCACTGCAATGGCACCAAATGTGGTGTTAAAATAACTAGCGCATTGCCGTTGCCACTAAAACCACCAACAACGTATAGTAAGCATAAATATTTTACCGTTAGCTACTTTTAGCGTGTAAAGCAACAGCCTGGCAGCAACAAACTCTTCATACATATGCCAGGTGAAAAACGAAATGTTGAAGGAAAAGGTTAAAAGGAAATTGGTAACCGGCGTCAAAGTTTGAAAAGTGGCAGATATGAGCCCAGATAGGTATGTACATAAGTATGCGCTGCACGTGAGAGCAAACTGACACACGCAAGGAAGCACATATGAACATATGTATGCATATAAGTGCATATACGCCATAAGAAACAAGCGAAAGTGAGTATGTCTGAGGCCGTAAAAGCAAAAGAGAACATCTCTACTCCTCCCCCGGGGCGTCCCACTTCTACAGCACTGTCTCATAAGTGTGCCTTTCTGAATGCAAGCATCGAGCTGTGTAATGAGAATACTGCTTGAATGGCATACCATTGCCAGTAGGCCATCCAAAGGACACGAAGTGCTAGTCAAAGTATTGCCTGTATACTTATACGCCTATTCACTTAAGGACGCTTTACTCCGATACTTTGCATTTGTATTTGCATGCATTTCCCTTTGTCTCAGTTCACCTGCTGGTGGAAAAGTGATTACAAAAACGGAAATGAAATACTACTATTTCTTTCCTTTCGCAAATTAAACTTATATTGGTAGTCTCTTAAGGTAGGGGACGTTTTTGGAAAATATTCCCAACCTCATATGTGTACATATATTGCTCTCGTTGAATCCGCCAAATTTCATATACCACTTGTGAATTTAAATCATATTTTCCAGCAACTGGACGAAAAGAGATTTTTAAGGATTTAACCAATTAACTGCCCGATCAACTATATTGCTTATGCCCTGTTAGTCGTGTATTTTTACGAAGCCAATGGTTGGTACTAGAGGCAAATAGCAATGTTTATAAAATAACAAAGTTTTGTTTGGATCATCTCTTTATCTGGAAGAAAATTTTCGGCTTGACACATCGTAGTCATATTCAAATATCACTAATGCAGAAAATTCTAAAAATAATATTGAAGCTAAACACAGCCGAAATAATTTTTAAAAAATAAAACAAAAAATGCAAGACCAAGAAATAGAGTCTTAAAAGCAGAAATTTAAATTTTGTGTTAATTAAACTTAAGATTTTCATTTTCTTGATTCTACCAATAGTAAATTGTTGACACGATAAAAGCATTTGTTTACAAATATGATATGTTAATGAAGCATTAGACACAAAAAGAAGTGAACCTCTTTTCTGTGTCAAATAGGGTGGGATAAGTTTCCTTTATAACGCGCATGAAGTCCCATCGAGCATATTGAGAGATGCAGCCCATGCTCAACGAGTTTGTGTGGTCCCACACCTGGAGAATTCCCCATGCGCCAAATCTTGAAAAGAACTCCATAAGAGTAGGACCGTATAGCTGTTATCTGCACAGAACTTACACGCCTGTGCAAATTGATTTTCGAGTCGTTCCGTTAGATAGAGTGACTTTCTGGCACATCTACTTCTTTAATTGATCGCTGGAGAAAATATTACAAGCCACATAATTAAGCAGGAAAGGAGAAAGAACGAACAACTGCTGACGTATGCCAATGATATTGATAAATTGGTCTCAGCACGGTACACGGTGTTTGGCTCTCTCCAGACTGCATAAAAAACCAAGGCGAAGTCGGTCTGTTAGTGAAGGAATACAAGATGAAACATTTTCAGCTATTAAACAAATAATCAGTACTTTCGTATCTTGGCTGCTTTGACGCGGTTGAGTCATGACTTGAAGTCATAGACGATCAAGGAACCACCACTAGCACCACTAACACTCTCAGCATTAAGAGCCACTGTAGATTCAATCCTTCACTGGACTGAGTAGGTAATGGAGAGCTAAAAGCCACGAAAAAAAAACTGAATTGTGCAAGCTGCTCATAATTTTCGTTCTACTATTTGGTGCAGGTGCGTGATGTCCGATGAAGATTTCGAAATAAAGGTTTTGCGGAAGATTTATAATTAGCGACGAAAATCGCAGCCGATGGAACGACGAACTGCAAGAGTTTTTCGAGAATATTAGCATAGTTCACGGAGTTCATAGCAGAAACTAAATTAGCTATGTCACGTCCTTGGTATAGAATAATAGACCTTCTCAAATGATTTGCTAAGATCAGTGTGCATAATACCAGTTTGGCAACATAAGCTTACAAATTTATGTCAACTTCTGAACCCAAACACATTGTAACCACTTTTAACAATATTAATATTAATATACATAATTCGACCGGTTTAAATAGGTTGGAAATATCTGACTTCCGAGCTTTTACATGATGCCAACTTTACTGACTGTTGAGTATTTACATAGCTTGACAAGGCAATTTAAAACTATCTCAAACGGACTATTTGTAATTTGCAAGAGAAAATCAAATTGTTTTTTTTTTTACGTGTGTGGTGAGTATATAAACTTACCTTTAATTTTTTAATTAAATTCACATTCCAAAATGTGACCTGTAGAAACTTTATCGACCGACGAGGCAGCAACATGGGAAATTGTTCAAGATGTTGCTCACAACTCTTTAGTTAACAACAAATCCCCAAATTTTGAGTAAATTGTTGGCAATTTGGTAGAAATGTATTTAAAGTTTGCAGATAGAATGTCTCTTAAGATTTTTTTCTCCTCTAGTGTTCCCCAGAAAATCTCGGCGTTAAGAGCAAAAGAAGGAGAGTGCATACACTGAGATCTAACTAACATTGAAAGACTTACGGTTTAGTCTCAATTTAGAACGCCGGTATTAACCAGTAGCCCAATCGAAATAATTAAATGAAAATTTTAAACTAAATACTGTGTTAGTATAACTATTCACTTTTTTTTGAAATATGCATCCAAATATAATCTTTAACTGCCGTTCACTAAGAATTATGCGCGGAACTCTAGAATAACTAATATGTACTATTTTATTATCTATTTACGAAAGTACATAAAGCTACACCGGTAATTATCAGATTTTCTGCAATTTTGGCACTTCTGACAATCACAAGGTGGCTCTTAAACTGTTAAGGCTTTTGGCTCAAACAAAAACGATGACAAGGATCTCGAGCTAAAGGCTTGCTGTGTGACCACTGTTGGACTCTAATACATGAGAACAATCTCGAAAACTCAAACTTAAACTGCTCGTCGTTTCTGATTTGTTTCAATTTAATAAATTCCCATTTATTGTCAAAAATCATAAAAAAATTTTCTTGCTGACTACAATATATCAAAAACTGGATTTAACCGTAAAAAACGGTGTGAAGAGTCG